ATTGGCAGGTGGATTCTTTACCACAGAGCCACCAGGGAAGACCCTGAGTGTTTTTTTAAGTTCCTGTTTCCCTCTTTATAAGATAAGTAAATTTTGTGTTGTAATGAATTGCAGTAATAGGAGGTCATTACTGGCTTTTGAGAAACCTAAGTAGCAAGTGAATTTGAAATGACACTTCGCAGGCCAAGAAAATTTTTTAGACTAGTATGATGTGTTCCTAATGAATTTAGTGGGAATGTTTTCAAAGGGATTTATGGATCTCTGTAGATTTCTGAGCCATCACTCAAGCAAAGCCTCTGATAAATTGATCAGTATTTTAAACGAGGTAGCTAAATTAAATTTTGATGTTTTGTTCTGGGACTTTACCTTAAATAGGCTTTTTAGGAAAGGTGCCTTATTTCTTCAAAATAGTATTGTTATCAGACTTGACTTTTTGGAGTTTAAAAATATAAATTAGCAAAAGCATTCTATCATTTAATTGATAAGGATTTAATGGAAAGTGTTCCAGACAGAAGAGATTTTTTAATATTTATTTTATTTAAAAAAATAAATATTTTGTGGAGTCTTTAGTTTTAGTATATGGGATCTAATTTCCTGACCAGGGATTGAATTTGGGCCCCCTCACTGAACCACCAGGAAGTCCCAAGATGAAAATTTAAGTTCATTTATAATCTCCTAGGAAGTAAAACTTGGGGGCTGTATATGTGTATATAGTTTCAGCTTCCCTTTCTCTCTAATGAGAGTGAGGCATCTGGAAGGTCTGTAAAAGAAATTGTGGAATCTGGAAGGTCTGTAAAAGATGATACTTATCTGCAGAGTGGCTTTCCCATAGCCCGGGTCCGTAATTCATCTGTTTTGAGTTTTGACTATATAACCTCAACCTTTCAATTCCTGAAATTCATTCTTATCGTGTTTGTTGTTGCTTAAACTATAGGATTTTCCCCCTATGATTCAGTTTAGTCGCTCAGTCGTGTCCAACTGTTTGCGACCCCATGGACTGCAGCACACCAGGCTTCCCTGTCTATCACCAGCTCCTGAAGCTTGGTCAAACCCATGTCCATTGAGTCGGTGATTCCATCCAACCATCTCATCGTCTGTTGTCCCCTTCTCCTCCTGCCTTCAATCTTTCCCAGCATCAGGGTCTTTTCCAGTGAGTCAGTTCTTTGCATCAGGTGGCCAAAGTATTGGAGTTTCAGCTTCAGCATCAGTCCTTCCATTGAATATTCAGGACTGATTTCCTTTAGGATGGACTGGTTTGATCTCCTTGCAGTCCAAGGGACTGGCAAGAGTCTTCTCCAGCACCACAGTTCAAAAGCATATATTCTTCAGTGCTCAGCTTTCTTTATGGTTCAACTGTCACACATCCACACACGACTACTGGAAAAACCATAGCTTTGACTAGATGATTTCGTTGGCAAACTCTGCCTTTTAAGATGCTGTCTAGGTTGGTCATAGCTTTTCTTCCAAGGAGCAAGTGTCTTTTAATGTCATGGCTATAGTCACCATCTGCAGTTATTTTGGAGCCCAAGAAAATAGAAGTCTCTTGTGGTTTCCATCGTTTCCCCCATCTATTTGCCATGAAATGATGAGACTGGATGCCATGATCTTTGTTTTGTGAATGTTGAGTTTTAAGCCAGCCTTTTCACTCTCCTCTTCAACTTTCATCAAGAGGCTCTTTATTTCCTCTCCGCTTTCTGCCGTAAGGGTGGTATCACCCTTATGATTACCCTCGTCGAATTGAAAAACCTGTTTTTCAGCTGTAGTGTTCTGTAACTTGAAAAATGTGTGTTTAGTTAGGTAGATATTTGGAACCCGCACCTTGTTCTTTCTACCGGTTATTTAAGCTCCCACCTAATAATTACCAAATACCTTGTCTTTTTTTGGTCTTTATTACTGTAGCTTTAAAATAAATTTTAGTATTTGGTACGGATAGTGTTTTCTTGTTTTTCCCTACCCTCATTTAAAAGTTGTCCTTTTGAATGCCTTCTTTTTTGTTATTAAAATACATTTGAATCAGTTCTAATGAGATGGATGAAACTGGAGTCCATTATACAGTGAAGTAAACCAGAAAGATAACACCAATGTAGTATACTAACGCATATATATGGAATTTAGAAAGATGGTAATGATAACCCTATATGCAGGGCAGAAAAAGAGACACAGATGTATAGAACAGACTTTTGGACTCTATGGGAGAAGGTGAGGGTGGAATGATCTGAGAGAATAGCATTGAAACATGTATATTATCAAGTGTGAAACAGATTGCCAGTCCAGGTTGGATGCATGAGACAAGCTCAGGGCTGGTGCACTGGGATGACCCAGAGGGATGGCATGGGCAGGGAGGTGGTAGGGGGTTCAGGATAGGGAACACATGTAAATCCATGGCTGATTCATATCAATGTATGGCAAAAACCATTACAATATTGTAAAGTAATTAGTCTCCAACTAATAAAAATAAATGGAAAAAAAAAGTTCAACTTCTTAGTCCCTCAACAGAATTACAGTCCTTAGTGTTTTAGTGGAATTCCATTTAAGTGTATATTGACAAATTTAAGATATCAAGATGTAAAAATGAGATGTGGTTTACATTTTCCTAAATATTCTAATTATATTCATTAGTTAAGTTTCACACATGTCGGCATATAGGTTGTATGCAGTATTTGTGTTGTTGAGGTTATTTCTAGGACTTTGCTCTTGTTAGACTACTTTTTTGTCTATTTTATTTTTCAGCTGTTTATTTTTAGCTAGAAAGGAAAATTAATTTTGGTTACCTTGGGACCTTACTGAATCTTTGAGTTGTCTGTTAAATTTTTATTTTAGGTTATTCTGTTTTGAATTGCTTTTGAAAAAGACAGATCTTCAATTAGTGCAAGTGCTCAGATATTCCTCTTATTCCCTTTATCCCTCCCTTACTCCTAGTTTGCATACAATTTTTGGCATTCCTGAGTTTTTACTGTATAATGCTTTTTTTTTTTTTTTTTGTCAGGGATGGCTTTCTAAAAGGTTTTGATTATATGTTAAATATGTTAAAGTGCCTTGTTACTTATCCATGATTATTTTAATTGTAGTTAAGAGATTCAACTGTAAATATATACCTGGCTGTTTTTGAAAGAACAATTTAAGGGACCATTTTATGATGGCTTGGAATCTTCTGCGTTTGTATATGCATGAAGAGAAGAAAAGGAAACGTCAGATATTCTGAGAAATAGGGTTCTGGGCCAGATGAGTATGACTAGGAAGAGAGACCAAATCTCCAAAGGTTGGACTAACAAGGAAGAGAGAAATTATGGAGACTTGGTCGTAAAGTCGTGTGCAGGAAAGTGTTGCCATTGTTATTTGGCATCTCCTGACTCTTATTTTGGCGGAGGCCTGACCCTGCTGTCCCTTTGAGTGTCTGGGAAACACCGTCATTCTTGTGCATTGAGACGTGTTCACTGTGCTCTGTATCAGTGCGTCAGTTTATAGAGGTTTGGCCATTAGAAGGTCTTTATCCCAGGAATCTAGGGTTTGGGGATTAGAACGTGTCTTTTAATTGTTCACTACAGTCCAGATACACTTTACTTGGGTATCAAGTTTTTAATTTACTTAAACTCATACCTGAAAGAATACTAGCAATAAGAGTAGGTTCCAGAGTTACCTTTTTTCCTTTAAGTGTTAAAAATGTGTGCATTCAAAGCTGATGCTGATGTTTGTGGTGAATGTAAAGTAGGAGTGTAGAGAGGTATAAGCACTGATTTTTAGATAGGAGAAGATTTTTATTATAACAGTAGAATTTTCCAATGATTTGGAGCTCTAGTTGAACTTACCCAGTATACAAATTATATAGAAATGATAAAGATTAATGGAACATCTCAAACTCTTTTATTTTTGTTTGTTAAATACTAGAAAACATTAGTGAAAGTTTGGCTAATCTCCTATGGAAAGATATGTCTTACTCTAATATTCGTGAACTTGGTTGGTTCTCAGTTTATGAAATTATTCCTTACCGTACAAATGGCAAGAGTATAATAGAGATTTGCTGGTGACCAAAATGATTGCTGATAGTAGATGTGCAGATGAACTAGTAGAAGTAGAGGCTGGCCAAGAAGTCATTGTTGTAGCATGATTAGAAAAATCACAGCTTGAACTGAATGGCAACTCTAGCTTTGAGAGGAGAACAGTCTTCAGAATTGCAAGTCAGGTGCTACTACTGTACTCTTGAAAGTATCTTTGAGTTTTAGGCCTTGCATGAAGATACATGCATTGAAATGCCCCATAGCACGCAATTAAATCGATCACAGGCATTTGGAGCTGAAGAGCGATCCAGGTCAAATTACGGAATCATACAATTGAGTAGCAAATGTGGGAGGAGGGCATTGAGAGACTAGATACATGACTCCATTTTTTGTGATTGGTCATCCTGCATTATTAAAGTAAAATTTTATTTTCAGCCTCATCTGTTACCTTCTCCTCTCAAGTCTTTAGTTCCAAAGATTTTCCAGGGTGGTAGTGCTGATCTATTTGCTTTTGGTTTTTCCAGTCAGTTTGTTTCTTAGTCTTTAGTTTGCTAATTTGCTTAAAATAATACCTGACACATAGTGTTTAAGTATTTTGGAAATTGATGAGGACATGTTTTAAACAAGTACTGCAAGTTTGTGTGTGTATTTATTTAGCTAGTTTATACTGTATATTATGGAGGTTAGTGTGATATTTTAGAAAAGAATTTAAGTGCCTAGTGGTTCAGAGTATGTGAGCATTTGGCAAAGGTTGAGAATATTGCAATTCTGATAGACAGTAATACAGTGTCATTTAATATCCGTTGTAATCATGAAAGAGAGGTTAATTTGCAGGGTCAACACAGCTCATAAATGATGGAGATGGAAAGCAAAACCTGATCAGCCTATTCCAAGCTCTAGGTTGTTATCAGTATTCCATATTGTCTTTGTATCTCTTAATATAGTGGTTTAGAGTTAATGTAACATTTAATTGAATATTCATTTCTTTTTAATTTTTTTTAACAGGGATTTATCAAAGATGTTCATGAAGACTCCCTCACAGTTGTTTTTGAGAACAAGTAAGTTATTTTTTATTGATAGAGATCCTAATTTTGAAGATTGACAGTGCCAAACTGCTGCTTTTGGGTAATTCCCCTTGTAATCGGAAAATGAATGTGCTTTTGGGTGGGGGGTTCTTTGCTTTGATTATCTTTTTGAGTTAAAATAATTTTTAGTTTTTGATGACTTCACCTGGTTTTCTGCTCACCATTCACTTGTCACTTTTTCTATGACTCCTTTCTTTGCTAATCACATGTGAACATGAATCAGTTTTTGCAAAACTGGATGGCATGAATGTAATTATAACATGCATACTTCTTAAAACCCAGAATTTTTAAATGATACTGTACAAGGCCTTCCAAATGCCCTTTTAATAGAATAAATATATTAGGCTGCCTTTAATTGCTTGATTAGTCTTAAGGAATAATAAAGTTTTATAGATATTGTAAAGGTTAGGTAAAGTTGTGCTAAAAATGTCAAAGATGTGTGCTGAGCTTGGTTAGGAAGAATTATAAAGAAGCACTATATAATTGAAGGTCAGAAAAGAACTGGGCAGCTTTCCCTTTTAAGCTGTTTCTGGAACTGCCTGAAGAGCTATGGGCAGCCCAACAGCTGTTTCATGTAGAAACAAGTGTTGAGATGATTCCTGACTTTGAGCACCTATTATTTAGACAGTAAAGATGGAAAGAAAGCACTCCAATATCTTTTACTTGTCTGTTTTTTGCCCATCGTTAGCATATAGAAACCCATCAGTTCAGTTCAGTTGTTCAGTCGTGTCCAACTCTTAGAAGCCATAGGAATATATTATGTGCTGTTGCACCTCCCAGGCATATGAATGATTTATTAGAACCTAAAATAGGAAAGCATTTTATCAACTTAGTTCTAAAATATAGCACACAAAAAGCACAACTAAAGCAGTAGTTTTAATACATTTGTATTTACTACAAAGATTAAAATAAATTTTTTCTAGGTTTTAATTATCTGTGTTCATTGTAGAAAAGAAATTGTAAGAAAAGTAAATCTTTTTGTAATTTACTGTTCAGAATAATATTGACTAGTTTTCTATATTTCTGTGAACATGTACACTAAAAAGGAATTATGCAGTTTATATTTTATAATCTTTGGAATTGTGTTCCTTAGGCAGGTCATTTAGTTGTAAAAATGTTTGTAGTAAGTTGATCACAGTGTAGCAGTGTAGAATGATATTATTTTAAATCTGAGTCATTTAAGGCTATGAACTTAGCCTTTTTCATTTGCAGAATGATGTATGTGATGTCACCTTAGGATGAGTGACTAGGAAGGTAGTATGTAATTACTATCAATGATGTTAATTACCTATGAACTTCAAGAGCTTTGCAAAATCTGTTCTATCTCAACAGTCTGCTTGGAAAAAGTTTTCATGCAGAGGTTGTTTTTCTTTGGGGAAAGCTAAATGATTGATTTGAAAAATTGACAGTGCTAAGCATAGACTACATAGCTTCTATATTAAGGAGTGTTAGAATAGTATATATTAAAGCTGTTCATTTTCTAATCCTTCAGTTGGCAACCAGAACGCCAGGTTCCATTCAATGAAGTTAGATTACCACCACCACCTGATATAAAAAAAGAAATTAGTGAAGGAGATGAAGTAGAGGTATGTATTTATAAGTTTATTTTCTTGTGTACCTATTTTCTGTTTGTTTCAAACAGATATTCTTGTAGGAAAATCTGTTAGCCGATAGAAAATAAGTCTAAATTCCTTTTCTCTCTTCTTCCTATTGGTAATGTCTGTGTAATGTAGCAGTACTTGAGTTTTGGAGCCAGAACTGGGATTAATGTCTCAATGCTACTGTTTTTAGCTTTATAGCCCTGATCAAGTTTGTTTTTTTAACCACTAGAATAAAAATAATTTGAGAATTAAAGATGATAATGCATTTGAGTTGTTTTTCACAGAATCTGGTGGAGAGAACTATATGATGTTGGTCATTATTTTCCTTTTTTTTTGCAAGTTATTTCGTCTTCAATGTTTTCCTCAGTATTTTTGTAAAATGTTAGTAGTTATCCTTTATTATAGTGATCATTAATATAGTTCATTTGTAACAATGTGAAATGTTGTAATAAGCATACTGCCTTTTTGAATATTCTAATATTCAGAAAGATTTAAAAGGGAAAAAAGCAAAATCACTTGCTAGGGATAAAATCCTATATTTCATGGTTTACATATTCCCAGGTTCTTCCTTTCCTCTCTTTTAAAAAATAAAAATTGTATTTCTTTGTATCTTGTTTTTTTCAGTTAGTAAGTAATTCCTGAATGTCTTCAGTATATATTTATTTTTGATTAATATGTCTGCTCTTATGTAACAAATTTTGAAATAATTGTGAAATAGAAGTATGAATTTGTTGGAGAGAGAAAATTTGATTTTTGATTTTTCAAGAAATTGATACCTCCAAGGAGCTCAAATATGCTAACTGTATTTCTCACAAACAGTTGTCTTGATAGTGTTGAAAGATAGATTTTCAAATGTTGTTTGTGCCTAGTTTATGTAGGTTAGGGTGGAAGAACTGGGGACACAGGTCAGTCTTTAATGATGAAACGGCTGTTTAAATAAATGTTTTAATAAACACTTAGCATTATGTACTTTGTGCCACACATTGTTCTGAGTGCTTTGCATATGAACTAATTTAGTTACTTGCCACTTTTATGCTTCATAACTTTTTAAATGGTAAATTTTGTTTTGAGTTAATTGAAGATGTTATGTTAGGAAGTCAGATTGTAGGATTGTAACCCCTAACTCACATTCTAAAATTCTGCCTAGATTTTAATTACTTGATCTAAGTAATTAGAGCAAATACTCTTCTGCTTCTCTGGAGTAGGAAATGGCAACCCACTCAAGTATTCTTACTTGGAGAATCCCATGGCCAGAAGATCCTGGCGGATTATTGCCAATGGGATTGCAAAGAGTTGGACACAGCTGAGTGACTAAGCATGCATTCTTCTGCTTTTACCAAAAGCAAAGCCTATTATGGGCTTCCCTCGGTGGCTTAGATGGTAAAGAATCTTACTGCAATGTGGAAGACCTGGGTTCGATCCCTGGGTCTGGAAGATCCCTAGAGAAGGAAATGGGCAACCCACTCTAGTATTCTTGCCTGGAAAATCCTGTGGACAAAGGAGCTTGGCAGGCTACAATCCATGGAGTTGGACATGATTGAACGACTAACACTTTTTTCAAAGCAGGTTATAACTTCGTTGTGTCAGGGTGCCACATGTGTGGCGATCAGTTCTGTGAGTAGTGCTTTTCATATTTTAAAAAATTATTGGTAGTGTAAAGGCTCAGGTTAAAGGGAAAACTTGGCAGAGTGCTGAGGGTATTGTTGTTACTTTGTGCTTTCCTCAGTCTCGGAAGATCTTGTCCATTCGCTGGACCATCTTTATGGCTTGGGCCCCCCTACCTCCCAGCCAACTGTATACAAAACTGTATTGAATAGTTTGGAAATTAATGATTACAGAATGTTTTATTTCACTTTCTGTTCTATGGTTCGGTCTTGGGAAAATTTGTTCCTTAAAAATATGAGAGTGGTGGTCTGGAATTAAGATGTTACTGTTACTTTAATTTTTTTGTGCTTTGAAATTTTTGAAAATTCATATAAGGAAAAGTTTAAAATTAATTTTGCCACCTGTTGATTTATTTATTTATTTATTTTTAGTTTTTGCCACCATGAGTTTAGGAATTTATCCTTAGGATGTGAAATGTTTAAGAATTATGGTTATTGGTACTTTATATTTTGAACCAAATAACTGTGTAAGCTCCACCTCTTTTACATTCAGAGTCACAAAGCTTCATATAAAAAGTGAAATGATACAGAATTCCCTAAGGTAACAAGTGAACTTCCCTCTTAGTGTAGGCATGTTGATGTGCTTACCTGCCCACCCCAGCTTAAATCTCATTTACCAAAGTTGAGTCTCTTCAGATTTTTTTCTTCGCATTTATAAAGAATATTATGTGTTTTTTTTAAGTTATAAAAATTGGGAATACACCTTATTTATAAATATTTGTATTCAGTTAATTAATGTATCATAGACATTTTCCTGTCTGCACATACAGATTTACCCTTATTTTCCTCAGCACCCCATGGTATTGGGTGGTACAGATGTATTATAATTAGAAAGCATTGAAATTACTCAGTTTTTTTGCTTTTATTTCCCCCTCCCGCCCCCACCTCAAAGCCAGATTTAGTGTTCTTATGTAAATCATCATCTATGGTAGTATTAAATCTTGGTGATTGATAGTACCAAAATGTACCATTTTGTCCTCCAGAAATGATTCTTGAATAACCACTTCATAAGTTTGCTAATGCTGAAGATGTTTGCTCCTCATAGATTGACTGGCTGGATTAATATTAATTTAATATGTAAAATTTCATAAACAAGGTTGAAGGAAGCTGTTGTCTTTTATATTTTGTGAACCTAGAATGCTAGTGATACACAGTGTCTTTTAAATTAGTTTTATGGCTGTTAGCTGCTTGTTCTGTTTATTGTCTGTTTTTATTCTTGATCCATGTAGTTTTTTTATGTCAAATATGTTTACATTTTTGGGTAAGCTTCTACCTGTTGTATATTGTGTTTTTTCCCAGGCAGTCTGTGCTTAGTGACTTTGGCCATTAAGAACTTATTTCTTTACTTACTCAGGTCTGCCAGTTTCCCCAGTGTGGCCTCCAAGATAACCCATTTTAGTAGTTCTACAGATGTGGCCCCTTTTTTTCTTTTTTTAAATAGCATTTAGGTGTGTGTTTTTTTTAACTTTTTATTTTGTACTGGAATATAACCGATGAACACTGCTGTGACAGTTTCAGGCGTCCAGCAGAGCACCTCAGCCATGCATACACACGTGTCCATTCTCCCCCAAACTCCCCTTCCATCCAGACTGCCACGCAACATTGAACAGAGTTCCCGTGCTGTACAGGAGGTTCTTGTTGGTTATCCGTTTTAAATATACCGGTGTATGCCTGTCCATCCCAAATCTTAACTACCCCTTCCACCCATCTTCCTTTTCTAAGTCTATGTTTCTGTCTTGTAAGTAAGCTCATTTGTATCATTTCTTTTGGCCACTGTTCTCTTTCTGCTAGTTGTCAGTACTATAGTAGCAGTGAAAACAGCTGGCACCGGGCTTCCTTGGTGTCTCAGTGGTAAAGAATCTTCCTGCTAATGCAGGAGATGTGAGTTCGATCCCTGGGTGGGGCAGAGCCCCTGGAAAAGGAAACAGCAACCTATTCCACTATTTTTGCCTGGGAAGTCCTATGGACAGAGGAGCCTCTGGTGGACCACAGTACATGGGGTCTCAAAAGAGTTGGAAATGACTTAGTGACCAAACAACAGCAGCTGACACTAACCATGAAATACATAACTAACTGACTTTATAAACACTTATCTCAGTTTGAAATAACAGTTTCTTGAGGACCTCTTCGAAATTCTGTGAATACCTTTACTAACCTTTCCAAGTTTCCTATAGCCTGATGGTTTAGGAAGTTGATAACCAGGTTAAGTTTTTGCCCTATATGTTATTCTCTCTAATATATCATGCTATATTCACAGGGTCTTGTCAGTTTTGTGCCAGATTACCAACTCTTATTCTTTTAGGGCTCTAGGAACCATTTCTTTTTGAAGAACGGAAAGATGACTTTGTTTGGCCATTATTAATTGACTTAGAACATAAATGATACAGGAGGGAGTTTTTCATTAGTTATTCAGGCATTTATCTAAAATCTAGCTGTATGACAGAGACCTAAAAAGACATTTCTCCAAAAGACATACTGATGGGCAACATACAGATTATTATTATGTAAGCTAATATTATTACTGTTGTTCAGTCACTAAGTTGTGTCTGACTCTTTGTGAACTTGTGGACTGCAGTACGCCAGGCTTCCCTGTCCTTCACTATCTTCCAGAGTTTGCTCAAACTCATGTCCATTGAGTTGGTCATGCCATCAAACCATTTCATCCTCTGTTGCCTTCTTCTCCTCCTGCCTTCAGTCTTTCCTGTCATCAGGGTCTTCTCCAGTGAGTTGGCTCTTTGCATCAGGTTGCCAAAGTATTAGAGCTTCAACTTGAGCATCAGTCCTTCCAGTGAATATTCAGGGTTAATTTTCCTTAGGATTGACTGGGCTTGATCTGTTTGCTTTGTAAGGGGCACTCAAGAGTCTTCTCCAGCACCCCAATTTGAAAGACTCAATTCTTCGGTACTCAGCCTTCAGTCCAGCTAGCATATCTGTATGACTACTGGAAAAACCATAGCTTGACTACACTGACCTTTGTCTGCAAAGTGATGTCTCTGCTTTTTAATACACTGTCTAGGTTTGTCATAGCTTTTCTTTCAAGGAGCAAGCGTCTTAATTTCATGGCTGCTGTAACCATCTGCAGTGATTTTGGAGTCCAGGAAAATACAATCTGCCACTGTTTCTGCTTTTTCCCCATCTATTTGCCATTGAAGCCTTGGGACCAGATGCCATGATTTTAATGTTTTTAATGTTGAGTTTTAAGCCAGCCTTTTCACTCTCCTCTTTCACCTCATCAAGAGGCTCTTTATTTCCTCTTCACTTTCTGCCATTAGAATGGTGTTGGTGGTTCAGTCACTAAGTCGTGTCCGACTCTTTGTGACC